ATCAATGGTTGTCGCCATGGGCTGGACGATCGGCTGGGTTCGTCTGGCTGGTTCGTGGTGGAACGACATCTGCGAGACCCAATCGTACCAAGCATTAGACTGACGATCCAACAGGTACCACCTCATCAACGAGTACTGGGACCGGATTGAAAAGGGTCTCTACCTCCTCGCCGACGCGGCGTTGAACTGGTACTTCCTAAAGACTGTGAAGCAGAACTTGATCAACAACGGCCTCACAAAGTACAATAAGCTCGTTCGTTTCAACCAGCAAATCGTGATGGTATCACTTCTTATGGACGTCATGATTATCGCCGCTATGTCGATACCAAATTCCTTTGTGTAAGTGTTACTCGTTGACAGAAGCCAACCTCTGACCTTTACTAACCCACCTTCTTCCAGATACATCCAATTCCATCCTCTCGCCTACCTAGTAAAACTCAACATCGAAATGACAATGGCCAACCTCATCAAACGCATCGCAATCTCGACATCGCGCAAGACAGGCATGGCATCCATTGCCCACGAGTTCAAGTCCTCGTCCAACCAATCCACCACCGGTCACCGCACCACCGGCACAAATCCGCACAAAGCACGGGGTTCGATTCACGAGCTCGCCAGCTTTGCTTCCTACACCGTCGATACAAAAGCAAATGCCGAGCAAGATGGGCAGCGTGTCATTAGCTTCGCCCCGACAGGGAACCAAATCAAGGAGACGAGAGAGGTCATCGTGCATACTGAGCCGAACCCGTTTTACGAGCGCAGAGGCTCGGAAGTGGAGATCACAGCAGGGCACGGAAGGAGACAGTCTCACGGCGTTGTCATTGAGGAGAGGGGACTAGGCAGGCAGAAGAGTCTAGAGAGTATAACTGAGGGGAATGAGAGTATGAGGAGTGGGTCAGTACCCAAGCGACTGATAGAGGATAGCGACGATGAGGCAGCGCTTGTGCAACAGAAGACTTGGGGATGGCCGAGGCGGCCGAGTTGAACGTGCGAGCGCTGTTGAAATGTCAAACTGTTTTGTGTTTATTTAGCGTGGGTTTGGTAAAATAGACATTGTTTCCGCACTTTAGATGTGCGATAGAACGATAATTATAGACCTTGTAGAGTTGAATATACCAAATCAACCGTTGGTCCGAAGAAGGAGCGAGACACGTAAGAGTACACAGCTGTGGTACCGTACCTAAGTACAACTTAACATGACGTGGCGCTGAAATGCATGACTGTCATCTCTGTCGGAATGCGCCATCGGGGTGATAGAAGAGGCTGTAGGCATCTATTGTGTCAGTTCAGTCTCATGAGTTGAGCGAAAGCAGATGCGGATGCCGTGGACTTGGCTAGATCTGTAGGTAAGCTCGCGATACACGTGACAGCACCACGTGTCGCGGCCTGGACTGGACGATGCTCGAGCAGAAATGTTTCTCGAGCGGAGACTATCCGCACATCGGAGTTCGCTGCGATGGAAAGTTGCGGGTAGAAGGGGGATTCTCACGTTGGTTCCCCGGAGCGACGCCACGATCTTCCCCGCACTTCTCAGCGAGGAAGGTTTGCCGACCAGGTACACCACGGTGGCTTGGCATGCTACACGCGTATACGGATTACACCAAGATGGTAATCCGTTCACTCAGCTGATGACATGTCGTGACCCTTTTAACCGTGTTCAAAAGATTGTGTTCGTGCTGTAGTTGTCAGCTATTCTTCATCTTTGTTGCACATTACTGTCTGCTCACTCAATTCCTTACCTACGTCATCCAGCAAGCCACAAACATGGGAGTCGGCGACACTTCAATCCGCTCCAGCGAGCGTCCTGAGGCCGGCAGTGTCAACATACCAGTCGGTGTATGGCCAACGTCGTCGACAAACGAGTCCGTCGATGCACATAAGGTCGCCAATGAGGTGATCACACGGTTCAACGATGCACTTGCGAAAAAGGATCATGCGGCTATCGCCGACCTCTTCTCCAAAGACAACAGTTACTGGAGAGATCACCTAGCGTTGAGTTGGGATCTTAGGACGTCGAAGGGTAGCGCAGACATCAAGAAGTACCTGGATTCCAGCAAAGTGCAAATGGAAAAGATTGAAGTGGACAAGAGCTCAGACTACCGCGCGCCAAAGTTTGGAGCGATCGATGTTCTAGGCGATATCACTGGTATCAACTTCTTTGTAACTTTCGAGACGAGCCTCGGGCGTGGCGAGGGTGTCATGAACCTAGCCGAAGACAATGGACAATGGAAGGTGTTCACGCTGTACACCTTGCTGAAGGAACTTAAAGGTCATGAAGAGCCATTGGGTCACCGAAGGACAAAGGGTGTGAAGCATGGAGGAGACCCGAATAGGAAGACGTGGAAGGAGACGCGTGATGCAGAGAAAGAGGAGATCGACCCGACAGTGTTGATCCTTGGAGCCGGGCAAGGCGGGCTTACAGTCGCTGCGCGTCTACGGATGCTCAACGTCCCCGCGTTGATCGTCGACCAAAATGAGAGGGTTGGTGACAACTGGCGCAAGCGATATCGGCAACTGGTACTCCACGACCCAGTATGGTACGACCACATGCCTTACGTGCCCTTCCCAGCACATTGGCCAGTCTTTACTCCTAAGGACAAGCTGGCGGAGTTCTTCGAGGCGTACGTGAACCTGCTGGAGCTCAACGTATGGACTTCGACAAGCCTCAAATCAACATCGTGGGATGAGAGTAAGAAGCAGTGGACCGTGACTGTCGAACGCCGGAAACCCGATGGGAGCACTCAGACACGCACATTACATCCGAAGCACATTGTCCAGGCGACAGGCCACTCCGGCGAGAAGAACTTTCCCCAGATCAAGGGTATGCAAGACTTCAAAGGCGACCGCCTGTGCCACAGCTCCGAGCACCCAGGCGCGAATCCCGAGTCGAAGGGTAAGAAGGCTGTGGTAGTAGGATGCTGCAATTCAGGCCATGATATCGCGCAAGACTTCTTTGAGAAGGGATACGACATCACCATTGTACAGCGCAGTACAACATGCGTTGTCTCTTCCGAGGCTATCACCGACATCGGCAACAAGGGTTTGTACGATCAAGACGCACCGCCTGTCGACGACGCTGACCTGACTTTCTGGAGTCTGCCAAGTGAGCTTCTGAAAGCACAGCAGATCAAAGTCACCAAGATCCAAGCCGACCACGACAAGAAAATGCACGACGGTCTTCGCGCGGCTGGCTTCGGTCTTGACAGTGGACCGATGGATTCAGGCCTTCTTATCAAGTACTTCCAGCGCGGCGGCGGCTACTATATCGATGTAGGCGCATCCCAGCTTATCATCGATGGCAAGATCAAAGTCAAGCAAGGCCAAGAGATTGCGCAGATCTTGCCAAACGGTATCGAGTTCGCGGATGGTGATAAGCTGGAAGCTGATGAGATCGTATTTGCGACTGGGTACCAGAACATGCGCACGCAGGCGCGAAAAATCTTCGGCGATGAAGTCGGGGACCGCGTCAGCGATGTATGGGGTTTCAACGACGAGGGCGAGTTCAGGACGATGTGGCAGAAGAGCGGTCATCCTGGTCTGTGGTTCATGGGTGGCAATTTGGCACTGTCGCGATTCTACAGTAGGGTACTGGCGTTGCAGATCAAGGCTGCCGAAGAAGGCATGATAGAAGATGGCGAAGGCTCGAAGGCGCGACTGTAGTGATATGTAGCTGCCGTAGATTCAAGAAAGGGGCCGCGGCCGTTCAACGCACCTCCCTCAAGCTTCCTCCGAGTTTTGCCAGTTTCGGATTTAGCGCGGGGCATGTCTCCACTCGCGCCGTCTCAAAATGCACAAGCTTCAATCCTTCAACATCATCTGATCCTAATTCATACTTCGTCGTGCGTGCACTTTTACCCAAGTTTTCTTCAGGCACCATGACTTCGAAGCCTCAAGTCATCCTCGTCGTCGGCGGAACGTCCGGAATCGGATACGCCACCACGCTTTCCATACTTTCGTCACCTTACCTACCATTCAACGCGAAAGTAATTGCGTTTGGGCTTATAGATTCGACCATCAAGCTTGAGTTCACGAAGCAGCAGAGAGAACGTCTCAGAATAGTCGAGGGCGATGTTACAGTGGAAGAAGATCGCGAGCTAGCGGTCCAGACGTGTTTCGATCACTTTGGAGGGCTGGATACTTTGGTGTACTGTGCAGGTGTTATTACACCGATCCAAAAATTGGAAACGGTCGACATTCAAGCGGTGAAGAGAAGTTTTGACATTAATGTTTTTGGCGCGATGAGTATGGTATGTACCACCTTGACATACTACACTGCTCATTCCTAATACTGCATGATATAATGTAACGCCCTTCATACGCTAATGGTCCTCAGGTTCAGCTTACGCTCCCAAAGCTCCGTGCTTCACGGATAGCGCATCCTCATAACGCTGGCCGCGGCAAAGTCATAATCCTCTCTTCGGCCTGCGATGACACAGTATCCTACCATGGATGGATGCCTTATAGCACTACCAAAGCCGCGTTAACCCGGTTTATCTCTTGTCTCGCACACGAAGAGCCACTGCTTAGTGTACAGGGCGTATACCCGAAGTTAACACGAACCAAGATGATCGATGGACTAGTCGAAGGGAAGTATCGGGGCGTTATGGCGGACCATGAGATCGAGAGGTTCAGGATTTGGGATGAGATGGGTGATGAGATGGTGGAACCCCCTGAGCTCTGTGGAGAGGCTGTCGCTAAATTGGCGTTGGGATTGTTCGAGGGCGGGAAGAGCGGAGAAACATTGTATTACGACGAGCATGTTCCGCGCAAGATTGCGGGGACATAAACAGTGGGAGTAAGGTGTGGAACACATGGAGACATACGAAGATATTACTCTCTCTGGCCAGTTTATTGCTTTCACGTTGTCAGCCATTTGATCCGAGCTTGAAGTATTCACTCTGGCCGGTCCTAAACCCCGCCACACTAGTAGAACTGTAAACATTACACTAAGCTGAACACCCGATACCAGGCTTTCTCCATCACACCAGGCACAGTCAAATATGGCAGAAGATCAACTCGTGTCTGCACCACGCAGCGCGATTATGAGCGACGGTATTGCGGACGCTGAGTGAGCAGTCCTTTGGATTTGATCTCAACTCACTAACATGATACAGTCTCGATGACTTCTTCAAGAGCATTTATTCCCGCCTTCCTCCAGAGCTGCCTTTGATGATTTATGACAAGCTTCTCACTGAAGATATGATGCACGACATGGCTAGCTGCGCGAGTCCTACCGCTTACGCCTATCCGCTCAACCACAGCACGTTCATGTACAAATCAACCCCTCGTTTCCTCAACCCGCGGATCTTGGATAGCTCTTTCACGACCGAGATAGTCAAGGCGTTCTATGGCAAGTATACTGGTTTTGAAGTCAAGCATCCGCTACGTATCGCGACTCTTCTCCAACGAGATTTCTTCAAACTCGGATATCACGTCAAACTCGCCAACTCTGTCCTCCGCGGTCTCACAGTCGACGGCTGCTTGCTTCCCCATAATAAGCACTTCATCAATGTCAAGCTGCTTCCCACCCAATTTGCACCACTATTCCACGCGCAGCAGCGCCTGGCTACTGGTTTCCATCTCACCATTCGTCTATGGACCGACAATAGTTCGCTCAACACTGCAAAGGCGCACAACGCCCAAGGCCTGGCTCTACGTCGCACTCTGCAGGTTCTCAAGCCAGTTTTCGCAAAGCTGATCGCAAAGGAGCCCACGGCTACTCATAGCGTAGTTTTGGAGGTTGCCCACATGCACAAAATCACGTTAGACATGGCACTGGCAGAGAGATCGTCGAGTAGCCTGGCTAATGAAATCTATAACTGGTGTTGTAAGTTGCTAGATGCATATTCTTTATGCATGTAGAACGCGCTAACAACGCATAGTTTGAAGACCGATATATACTTTCCACAACAGTGTGAATATTCATCCGATAGGTGCGGAAGTGCACGAGTGAGTAGAGAATGGAACAAGCAGATATGAGATTAATGTAAAGGACTGAGGCATTAATGATGAACGCGCATATATCGAGAAGTACAGCGGTTGGGTATCTAGAATCAGACTGATGACGTTCCTCATCAGCTCAGTCAAGACTGACGACCTACTCTGTCATCCTCAGTGACCTTCACGATCACAGCCCCAATACCCGGCCCTTTACCCCAAACACGATGCGCTTCCGGAACTTCTTCCAACGCCCACATCTTCCTGATTGGCACCCGAATAGCTCCGCTCTCCAACATTTTGAAAAGGGCCACTAACTCCGGCTTGAACGTCTTTTGATCGCGATCAATGTAGTAAAAATTCGTCCGGTAAGGGCAAAAGGGAACCATGCCTCTTGCGAGTAGCTTTAAAACCTGAGGTGGCTGACTACGAGGTTTTCCACCGGTGAGCAGGTCGAAGTTACCACCGTAACCCACAAGAAGACCTCCCTTCGCCAGGATGTTCCAGCTGTCGTCCCAAGACTCGAAGCCAAGAGCATCGTACACGATGTCTGCGCCACCCACGTCTTTCATGGCCTGCATCCAGTTCTTGTCGGAGTAGACGAATGGCATTGCACCCGCTTCGCGGATAGCGGCGTGATTGACGGCTGATGCTGTCCCGTAGACTTCCGCACCTTGCATCTTGCAAAGGGTGAGGACGGCAAAACCGACGCTGCCGCTGATACCGTGGATGAAGACGCGCTGGCCAGCGGAGATCTTAGCGGCGCGGTAGGCTAGCCCGTAGGCCGTGTTCCAATCTAAGACCAAGGCAACTGCCTGCTGCAGATCGAGTCCTTCTGGCACGCTAACGAGATGTTTCTCGGGTTGGTTGCAGAGCTCGGCTTCCGCGTCGTATTTTGTGAGGCAAGCGACGAGGTCTCCAAGCCGGTATTTCGTGCAAGCCGATCCATTTTGGTGCACGCGGCCGATAAGCGCATAGCCCGGCGTCAATGGTGCTTTCCTTTGCATCGGGTAGGCACCTTGTCGCATGGATATATCTGCACCGCCCATGCTGGCGTAGAGCACTTTGATTTGGACTTCGTTGGGGGAAGGCGCGGGGATGGGGGCTGTGACAACCGACACGTTCTCAGGGCCGCCGAACTCTGAGATCAGGACTTTGCGAACGGGTGTAGACATCTTTTGTTTTGAGTTGAAATCTGGTTAGCAATTTTGTGTATCGTCCTATCTGGGATGCAATCGATGGTGTTCGAAGCGCAATGTTGATGGAAGCTGGAATGATGGGCCCTGATGACTGCTGTTGCGCGCACACTTATGCCTATCGAGCCTGGCAGTACAACAAAACTTGCGACGCCCATGGAGGCGGAGTATGGGCTGATGCGCTCTCATCCTCACTGTGAAGGTGGGATGCGGAGAGTTCGTGGCTTCGAGATGCAGGCCTGACGCTGAGTGCGGAGAGACTGGTGGTCTCCTCGGGGAGATAATCTGCCCGTCCCACCGAAGAGGTTAGTGACTTACCCTTTTAGGGGTTAGCCTCAGTCACTGACGGGGGATGATTGCCCAGGCGGGATCCATCCACGTCAAAAAAGGCTTTCAGCTCAGACTGACGCCTGGGAGCTTATGCACGTTTTTGGTGCAATGCGCGCGTGGACCCCACGTGTGGAATGTTCTCTCAGACCTTTGAGAAGACCTTGTGTGAGCTCATGTTCAGTGCATCGTCATCCTCACCAAAATAGCTCCCTCTCAAACAAAAGATGGTATTCGGATATCGTCAAAATTGGCATTGCTTTGACCCTATCTCTTCAACGCATCTTTCTTTCCTGCCTTAATACTTTCCCTTCGCAGCTTCTTTGATAATATCTGCTGCCTTCTCCGCTGTCGCATACACAGTGGTCATGATGTGAGAAGCCGGAAGAATGGGCATGACACTGGCATCCACGACCCGCAGGCCGTTCACACCGTAGACCTTCAGCTCTTGATCTACAACACCGCCATCCTCTCTAGCACCCATCTTGCAGCTGCCCGCCGGGTGGTACAGCGTCGATGCGGTGCTGCGAATGAAAGCATCGATGTCCGCAGAGGCGGTGACATTGTTGCCTGGAACAGCCTCGAACGGATTGAGCGATGCAATAGATGGCGTGGCAACGAATTTGCGAGCCCAGTGCACACCTTCGCGCAGGAGTGCGGTGTCGACTTCGTTACGGAGGAACCCTACATCTGCGACTGGGCGATCGAACATGCTGGATGAGTTCGCCTTTACGCTTCCACGCGAGTACGGATGCTGAAGTCCGAGCACCACGACGCCGTCGGCCCAGATGATCTCCATCATCGCGGAATCGTTTGCTTGGAGCTTCTTGTTGAGAGAAGCAAACTGTGCCTCATAGCCTCGTGCGACTTCAGCGGGGGTATCAGCCGGGAGAGAGGCAGATGATCCACCTGCGACTGCTTGAGCCAAGATAGATTGCGTGGCGTTGGAATAGGTTTGAAGTGGCAGGAAGAGAAGGAAGTCACCGGTCGGGGAGGTTAGTGGGCCGGACTTCTCATTGTCGTACTGCTCGCGAGCTTGAGCGGCGAAGGTAGTGTTTGATGCCAGGGTGTTCGTTAGAACGCTAGTGTTGACTGCGCCAATGTCAGTATCTCCTCAGCTAGACCATATAACGGCCTACTTACGGACGTTCACCACGGCGACGGAAAGATGGTCGTGCAGGTTGTATCCGACGGCCGGAAGATCAACGACGGTGGTCACATTGATGGATTCGAGCAGAGAGGCTCCGCCAATTCCAGAAACCTGCAACAATTGGGGTGTATGCAACGAGCCAGCAGCGAGGATGACTTCTCGCTTGGCCTTGGTCTGTTGACTCTCCGCATCTGCAGAAGTCGAGAACTCAACACCAGTAGCCTTGACCGTGTTCGTCTCATTGCAGCTTTCCGTAAGGACGCGCATCACAAGACGGCCAGTGAGAAGATGATAATTTGGGCGCGGTTCGGCAGATGCATAGTAAGCTTCTTCTGCGGAGGAGCGTGTCCAGTTCATCGGGACCATGTTGTGCGGGCAGAAATAACCGCCGAAGGCATTCCCAGTCGCCTGGTCATTGATGGAGATTCCCAGCTCCTTGGTAGCTTGTACGAGGTTTTCTGAAATAGTCATCAGTATCTTGCCGTATGAAAATGGTGCGTCAAACTCACTAGTCGTGGGCCAGAAGAAAGGAGAGTAGGTTACTTCCATGTATCCTTCGTCGCCATGGTATTCGGGGTTGACCTGAATGTCGTATTCGGCTTGGATCTCAGCAGTTGGTGGTGTGAATTTCTCGTTCTTTACACTGGTTAGAAAGTATCAAAGGACTGTAGAAAAGAACAAACCTTTTTGAAGTACTTCAGGAAGGTCTCAAAGTTCCAACCTTCGTTTCCCAGAGTCTCCCACCCATCGTAGTCAGATTGTGAGCCACGATCGAACACCATGCGGTTCAACTTTGTTGACCCGCCCACGACCTTGCCTTGTGGAATAGAGACAACGCGGCCGTCTAGTGCTTGGTCCGGAGCATACGAAGTGTTCCAGTCATACTTCGTTCCTACAGCACCGCCTGCAAGACCTGGAATGGTGACGTAGTCCTCGTTCTGGTCGCTGGAGACAAATCAGCAATTTGATGGGCGTGGTATTCATGAGACTTACAGATCGCCGGCCTCGATCACGAGTACTGTCACATCTATAACAGGACGACGTTAGTATTTTCCGTAAACCGGGTTACTGTGTAAGCCTACCCTTATCCTCGGAAAGTCGATTGGCAACGGTAAGACCCGACGCGCCGGCGCCTACGATGACATAGTCGTATTCTGGAAGAAGGTCCTCCGCTCTCGAAACGAGCTGCGCATTGGAGAGTGGATGTGCGAAAAGACCAGTCGCAGAAAGCGCGACAGTTACTCCGAGACTCAAAAGAGAAGGCATGATCACAGCGTACAACAGCAATTGTGTCTGTCGTCCTCACAGAAGAGTACTTGCGTATATGTACCCAGAGAAAGTCGAGGTAACCGTAATAACACCGGCGGTCGGGCCGCCCGCATCTGCCGATGTGTTGAACAACACCAAGGGCCCAGCCGAGACCAGTCCATGATATTCGTCAACATATAGCGCATGGCGCGTTGGCGAGTTTCCGATTTATAATGGTTCGGCGGCTTTTATCCTGTGTGCGCGATAGTTTTCAGGCAAAAGCAGATTAGCGGAGGCGGAGTCTGACGCCAGTAGATCCTCCGACCTTATCCGGGGAGTGAGCCGTGTTGGCGTTTTCCCGGGGCCGCTGGTTGTGTGCACGGTGTGGCTTGAAGGATCGGCATGATAAAGCCGGTAATTGGTTCGCTGCATCGGTTCGGTGCTTCGCTGGAAGCGGGCTGTGTTCAGTGGCTTGAGGGCGATTATGTCGTGCCTGGCGTTTATCGGCCCTGCCCCAACATCTGCGGGATCTTGCTGTCGTGTTGCGGCACAGTTGAGTGGATATCACGTGTTTTCTGCGGTAGTGGACCTCGGCCCGGGCGGGTGGGCTTGCTTGCAGCTTGCGCGTTGGCTACACGAAAACATCCGATGCAGGTGCGCAATACCACCACGCCAATTTTGAAATACGAAGTCTCAGCCTGTATGAGACTGCCGATGCGATATGGGAAACCGACCGATGTAAGGTTTGTTTCGCGTTAAGGTTTGGAGATGGATGTCAAGTTACGGGAGGCCTTTCGAGAGTAGCGCCCCTACACACGCGGTGCACTGCTCAGGTGGCTATGTCATCGCTGTCGCCCAAGGACTAGACTAATGTTTGATGGCATCCATGTCCACTACGCAATCGTCATATTCGAACTCGGAGTTGCGTCGCGAGCCACCTTGGGTGGCCCTAGTTCAGAACGAATTCAGATTGATAGATAATCATCTAACCAAAAGAAAGGCTTGCATGGTAGGTGTGTTCACTCACTT